ATCAAATTAACCCCCCCCCCCCCGACTCCCATGCAGCCTCTCTTATTTTTTTCCCAAAATAAACCACCTACTCATGGTTTACCCATAATCCATTCCCAATGGAGCTTCACTGACTCCTGTCTGTCACCTTCCCTCCCATCTTAAGGTATCTATAGCAACTCCTTTCCTTTGTGGAGGGGTTAGCACCGTCCACCTTGATAATGTTAGCACTTTAACTGTCTCTTTGTCTCTGCTTAAAACCATGGTTACCTAAAGATTTGATTCATGCTTGTACAGAAGAATATAGTCAAACATCCCATTGCCTGCTACATGTAAACTTCCTTACCGTTTAACATGAGTTAGTCTGTAAAGCTAAAAACAGAGGACCAGCTTAATCCAGAGGTAATTAGTCCAAGATTTGACTCCTATCAAAACAGACGTTTATATGTGACCCTTAAAGGGCAGTTAACTCAAACTAGTTGTGATTGCTTCAGGACAAAGTGTTAATTCAGATGCTTCACAGGTACTTAAATGTGGGACCATGGGCTTGTTCATCTCTAAAGTTTGCTGCAAGACAAAATGCTCGCATCTGAATCCAACAGGTTGTCTGTTTTTTAGCTTAAGCTGCTGCACTGCTTTGTCTTCTGTCTGTGATTCCTATAGGCACTATACAGCTAACAGGTCCTTATCTCAGTAATACAGTGCTTCTCAGGTCCTGATGAATTTGCAGATCACTGACTAGCAAACTTGGGGGCTTTGCTGTTCAGAGATCAATGTCAGGTGGAAGTGAGGTCACACCCTGTAGGAGTTGAAGAGATTCTTCCTAAAAGCCTGAAGGAGAAGATGGGCTTTAGAGACTGCTTAAAGCAGCGGTTTTCAACCTTCTTCCATTTGCAGACCCCTCTGGAAATTTCGAATGGAGCTGCAGCTCCCTTTGAACTGTCAGTGTAGGCATTCACATACTTTTGATTGATCATGGTCATCTTTCATGACCCCCTTGGACATTATACGTGGACCCCCCAGGGGCCCGTGGACAACCGGTTAAAAATCACTGGCCTAGATGATCATAGAAGCGGATCCAGCATTTTGTGGGAGCAGCGACTGGTGCTGTTGGGGTGTCTGCACCTCACCCCCTCTGCTCCCTGCTTTCTTTCACACCCCTCTCTCTATTCTCCTTGCACCAGGGTGGGCAGACCACATTGCAAGAACATTACTTGGGGCCTGTTTTAAACAATTGCCCCTTCCCCTCCATGCTCAGAGGCTTGTCCCCTTCCCTCCCTATCTCCCCTCACCTGCCACTGCCTCTATGCCCATTGTCCAGAGGACAAACGGCGCTCCAGTTGCCCCTGCCTGCTCTTGGGTTGCAGGGAGGGTGAACGAGCCTGCCCTTGCTGCTGTCCCAGGCTGAGCCTGCCCCCATCCAGCCCAGCTAGAGGGGCAGGAGCAACAGCAGCAATTGGGGAGAGAGAATTAAAAAGTTTAGGAGTGAATTCTGCTCTCTTTTAACGTGCTGTCGGTTTGGGGGCCTGGTGAGTGTGCACAGAGGAGAGGAAGTGTGGACCACTGGTTAGGGCACCAGTATAACTGGCCTTTACAGCACCAGGAATGAGAGGGCCCACACAGTACAGCTGTATGCTGGTATAACTTAGAGTTCAGTTTTGCATTTGAAACTCTTTTGGCCTGACACTGCAAAGGTGAAGGATTGAGATAACAATGGCAGTTGTTTTAAATAATTCCTGCAGAATGCCCCGGTTTTGGAATGGGCGGCAGGTTGGTAAGCAGCTCTCTTAACTACAAGAATACAGGTGGTAGCTTATCTGTGTGTTGAATTCTCCCCTCCCATGTCATCACCCCGGTCTGTTTGCTCCTCCATCGTCTGCGGTCACTTCTCAACCTCTTTCCTGGCAGGGGAAATGCCACGACCATGATGGTGGCGGGGAAATACCCTGACCAAGGTAATGCAATTAAAATGGCACTGTGTAGTGGAGGGTGCACCCTCATCTGCTTGCAGACAGGAGTCCCTGTGAGAGCTTCATGGTTAGCTCCCACTGGCTGGCTTCCAGCGGGAGGATTTTGGCTGCATGCTGCCTTTATGGAAATGGGAGACTCCTCCCTAGCTTGCTCCAGCTGACGCAGGGCTGAGGGCAAGCCAAACTCGGGGGCGCCCAAACCCCAAGCTTCTGAGGTTGGGCTTGCACCTAGGATGACTGTTCAAAGGATTTGGAAGTATCTGAAGCTGCAGGGTGGGGTGGAGGATACTTGCCGGTAGCAAGGCCACAAATGGACCTGATCTGACTAATTTGACTTGGAGCATGAAAAAAATTCCTTTAAAAAACCCCCAAAACAAATAAATAAACCCCTCTTTCACTCCTATAAAGGCAGACCTCGGTGTCCTTGTTTCTAGAGACACTTTGGTGCCCCCCAGGCACCATGCAAGGATTCAGAGATGCATTTGCTTTATCCTGAATGTCACGTTGCTCGGTCCTGGAGAAAAATGCTAGGAAGCTGTAGCCCACTAGAACCATCCACACGGTTTATGGATTATGATGTGGTCTCAAATCTGCTTCCTCTAGGTCAGCACCTCTATAGCCCCCTGTGGTCAGGACATATTTAACACGCTCGAGTTCAGTATTGGACAGACGCAGAAGTCTGGATCATCAAGCTCGAGCAACTAGTTTATTAACAAAAGGCAAAAATAGCACTTCTATAAAGAAGGCAAATTACCTCCTGGGGGAGCAGCGTCACAGAGTTTGCCTCATGTCAAAAATCTGCCCCAAAGGAGATGCTCAGAGGCACTTATTTAGGACCTGGTTTCACCAGACGGACTGGCAGAAGTTTCCCATATTGGCTGTGATCTGCCTATGTGCTTTACCCACGGTATCTCAAACTCAGCATGCAGTTTATTTGCTGGAGCTCAATGCACTCTGGTACACGGTCTGCAGCTGGAACATCAGCAGAGCTGTGATTTGTCCGAGATACGCTGTAGTCTTAAGACTAGCTTAGCCCCAGTGAAATGCATTCTGGGATTATAGTTCATAGTTATTTACTTAAGTACAAACTTACTGGCAATATAATGGATTGACTAACCAAGGCCATATTGAAAGTGGAGCAAGAGCTTAATGAAGCCAAGTAAAACCTTCAAGGTTTGACGCCTTAGACTGAGTCAGGTTCCCTGAGTTAGTTCAGGATAGCTTTGATTTGGAGGGGTCACAGCCCTGCCACTGACTCTTTTTGGGACCTTGGGCAAGTTGCTGGCACTCTTGGCATCGCAGCCCCCCATGTGCCCACTGCAGCTGCTACCTGCTGTCGAGCCCAAGTGAACAAATGTGCACTAGAGCCAAAACTCCCTCCTTTCTACTCGCTCCTGCTCCCGGCCGTGTCCCTGCCCTCGTCTCACCTCGCCCTCTCCATTTCAGAATTGCAACGAGCGGTTCCAATACAAGTACCAGCTGCGCTCTCACATGAGCATCCACATCGGACACAAGCAGTTCATGTGCCAGTGGTGCGGGAAGGACTTCAACATGAAGCAGTATTTCGATGAGCACATGAAAACGCACACAGGTGAGACCTCCTATAATGCCTGCCCCAGTGATGAAGTACCAGGGGCGTCCTGCTGTAGCTTGTGATCTCCCCAATGTACCTCGTAGGGACATGCAGCACCGACCGTCTCTGCTGCTCCAGACTTGTGCGTGGCTTCCTGCCTCATTGCGGCGTTTTGGGGCAGATTGGATTCTGCTACGAACTGCTTGAAAGTGGTAGCATGACTAGGGTGGGCAAGGAGGGCATTAGGTCCTGGGGTTGACTAAGGGAGGTGGGGGACACCCAACTGCAGGGCACCTGTAGGGGGGTTCAAGGCCCATAGTAACTCTAGGCTGTGGCTGCATTGAACAGGGGAAGGTGTCTCCCAGGCAAGTAGCTAACCCCATTGACTGCCCCTTTGCAGCTGCCACCAAATTAAAGGGTTTTACATCATTGCTCAGCATGGGATTCTGTGGGGCAGGCAAGAGACTCAACTCTGCCAGGGGGATGCTTCCTCTTGCTCCATGCAGCTGGACCCTGCAGCTGCTAGGAGCCTCAAGCCCCACACCTCTACCCATTGAGTCCTAAAAACAGCTGCCTAGGGCACAAACCCTGCCTGGAACACCTCTGACTGGACAGTGGGTTGATTTGGCAGGTTAGCAGGGTCTAAGAGACATAGAGGATAACTGCAGAGAGGAGCTGCTTGAAGTTGCAGCAAAGTAGGTTTAGATTGGATATCAGGAACAACGTCTTCGCTCTTAGAGCAGTGAGGCTGGGGAATAGACACCTAAGAAGCTATGGAGTCTCCATCATTGGAGGTCTTCAAGTTGAGGTCGGATGGCCGCTGGTTGGGGGATGATCCAGGTGACCTGTTGTCTTCTATGGGTATTTCCCATGCTGCTGGGCTTTGCTGATTGCCACCTGGCACCAAAAAGGATTTTTCCCCTTCTGTTGCTACAAGAGACAAGGTTTTATTTCACTTTCCTCGGAGGCGTTGGGCATTGGCTGCAGCTGAGGCTGGGGATTTTGACTGTGCTGTCCAGTGCTCCTCCTGGGACTTAACCCTGGAGGGTCTTGGCTAGAGGGTCTTACATCTCTGCTCAGGGTCAGACAGATCAGCACATTTGGGGTCAGGAAGCAGTTTTACCCCATGGGGTATGGGGGAGTTTGCCTTAATCTGTAGTGGGGTACATGGCCCCTTTCCTGGGATCTCTTGAGTGTATATTAGCAACCTTTACAGCAGCAGGATGTTGGCTGCTGTGGTCCCCCTGCTTTACCTGTAGCAGGTTAAGGTGTGGTATTGTGTCAGAGTTGACCATAGTTTTGCTAATAGGTTAGATAATGGTTTGATTAGGGATGATCCTGTCTCAGGCAGGGGGTTGGACTAGATGTGACCATTGGAGGTCTCTTCCAGCTCTACTTAGCTCTAAGTTTCTCTGATAAGGTCTCAGTGTGACCCTGCTGAATTTTATTTTATTTTATTTTATTTTATTTTTTGGAGCACAGGCTAATCTTCAACAGGATCCCCAGCTCTGCCTACCATGCCCATGCTTGGGGAGGGGTTTTATGGCAGAGCATATAAGACATTTTACTATGACTCTAGCTGGGTGAATCATAGGATCAGAGAAGGGACCTCAGGAGGTCACATCTAGTCCAGCCCCCTGCTCAGAGCAGGACCAGCCCCAACAACATCATCCCAGCCAGGGCTTTGTGAAGCCAGGTCTTAAAACCTCCAAGGATGGAGATGCTACCACCTCTCTGGGTAACCTGTTCCAGTGCTTTGCTGAAACCCTTGTGCCTTCACCTCCACTAAGCCTAGTGAGGCTTAGATCAGGTTGTCCAAACAGTGGCCTACGGACTACATCCAGGGTTAACACACCGCCCATAGGCTCCTGGCCAGCAGCTGTTTCCCCCTTTGCTCTGGCTGTTGGGATGCCCAGGGTCTCTGCAGCAGGGCAACATGGGGGAAGGGACCCTGGGAGCCTACTGCCTGCATGGCAAGGAAGCTGCCCGGTATGGCATGTGAGCCCATGGCTGTACAGCACGCAGCTGTCAGCCACCCAGACCATGGACAGCGTTTGGTTGGGTGAACCTTGATTCCTGGACATGTTTTTTCTCAGGTCTGAGCTGAGAACCACGGCAGAGACGGTCATGCGAGAGCGGTGCATCAGCTCTATGGGACTAAAACCCCTGGCTAACAGGGGAAGAGATGAGGGGAGAGCCCAGGCCTTTGTTGGGGGTGGGAGTGGGCTACCCACAGGCGGAGGCAAGAGAGGTCTGTAACTCCCCGCTCCCTCGTCTCCTCGCTCCCCTAGGCGAGAAGCCCTACATCTGCGAGATCTGTGGCAAGAGCTTCACCAGCCGCCCCAACATGAAGCGCCACCGCCGGACACACACGGGCGAGAAGCCGTACCCCTGCGACGTCTGCGGCCAGCGCTTCCGCTTCTCCAACATGCTCAAGGCCCACAAGGAGAAGTGCTTCCGCGTCAGCAACCCCCTGGCTCCGGACACCAACAGCACTGGCAGCGGTGGCCTGGCCCTTCCCCAGAGCACCGTCTCGCCGCACCTGCCCTCGGGCGCCGGCATCTCTCATGCGACACAGCACCCCCATTCGCTCTCCTTGCCGCTGCTTCACCCTCTCCCTCAGACCCTCCCTCCTCCTCCTCACCTACCGCCACCGCCTCCCCTCTTCCCAGCCGGGCGGATCAACTCGAACAACAATTAGGCCCTGCCCGTGGTGCACGGGTGCACACAAACTGGTCTGCCCGTCGGCAAGTGCCCAGCAGGCGTTTCGTTCCCATTGCTTGGGATGGGAGGGAGGAGAAGGGGGCTCATTCCCTCTCTTCCCCCACTCCTTCTCTCTCATTGTTTTTCTTTTGATTTATGGGGGGGATTTTTGCTTGTAAGCTTTCCACCGAGGGGACGGGCTCTCTGGGCCAGAGCTCATGTAGCAGGAACAAGCTCCCAAGCAGCTTGGAGTGCACTAAAACTGGGGGGAAACACGGTGTTTCAATAACAGTGTAGACAAAAGGCCCTTTCTTCCCCTCCTCTTCTCCATGGTTTCATCTCTTGTGCTTCCCAGCCCAACCTGTCCTCGTGCCCAGCTTGCTCAAGGGTTTTCCTGAGGTGACTCCCCTACGCGGCAGTGTTTAGTACCAGGGTGGCTTTGGCCCCTACCTATTCTCAACCACAGCTGCTGCTTGTTTCCATGCATTTGTCCGTGTTCCCTGCCATGATATTAGACGATCAGAGCTTTGGATTTACAGTGCACGCCCCCTCCGTCAAGCCCTTCCCACTCACTCCTCCTAGTAGTGGATGTTTTCAAGTCTCCATCTGGTTAACAGCCGTTTTATCTTGTCCGAGCTCTGCAAAAGGGTTGGTAGCAGTCGCTCTCCGTTTTAATACACAAGGCTGCACGCCCCAGCATGCAGGGCTCTGTTTTATTCTGAAGGGCTTCCTGCTGGGAAGAATACTTTATCCTGTGGCCTGTTGACTTCATGGGCTGCCCCGATAATGATTGCTACCTTGCGGCCTTTGGCAGTAGCTGCTTATAGGTGAAAAGCGTACGAGACAGATGCACGCGGGTGCAAATGTGCAAGAGAATTAGACATGCTTTGAGACCTGGTGAGGAACACGGGAGGCCTTTTTTTTTTTTTGCACTGGAGGGAGCTACGAAAATAGGCACAAGGAAGGAAATAGATACAGGTGGGGGGGGTCACCAAGCGGCGGGCTCTGAAAATGGGGTACCGTTTATTCACGTTTCAGAAAAGCTCCATTGGTCAAAGCGGCAGTGGCAGTTTCTAGGTGTAATCTAGGCATGTCCTGTGCTGGAGTCATTCTGCTGGAAGGCTGGCACAGCACGGAGGATCTTGGTGTGCGTTCATCATTTCATGCATGTGTGTCAGGGGCTACTGGGCATGGCTTTGCAGTAACGCAGTCAGTATGGAGGGGATGTTGCCATTACTGGGAATCTCCAATGCCCACAACAGGGATGACCTGTCTGAGGGCTTCACAATGCACTGCTATGCTTAACAATAGCTGTTGAGGGAGCTGTTGCATTTTATCCTGCCTTCTTCCCACCCATAGCCTGTGACACACGCTCACAGTTTGGTAATCTAAAGCACAAGCCCCAGACACACCTGCATCCCATGGAAGCAGTCACTGGCTGTGGTTCAAATACCAATTCTTCAGAGGAGGGGAAACCACCTAGGCTAGGAATTTGGGTAGTTTTGTGTGTGTGTGTGTGTGTGGGTTTTTTTCCAACCAGGGTGTGTAAAATAGTTAGATTCCCTACTGCCCAAAGCCAGCAGCGAGTCTTTATATGCAGGAGCTGAGCTGGAACTGTGTGTCCCATCACACAGTTGTACTCCAGGTGAGCACTTGGTTGGCTTTTGGTTTTAAGAGGCGTTAGAAGGTGGTTCCACCAGTCCCAGCCTAGTCCCACGCATCCTCCTAGTGCCTTATGGGGGTGGACAATAAATCTAACTGGCTTGTAAGCTCCTGGCTGTATGCACAGGGCTCTGGGGGTCTTGCACTCTGCAAATCAGACCTGCTAACCTGGATTGTGCACTCAGCGAGGGCAATAATTTGACCCTCTCCATTCTCTTCTGTGAGGTCTCCTGCCCCAGTTTGTTGCTCTCCTTGAAGAGTCCAGGTTATTCCCCCCCTTCGTGGCACCGAGTTGTTGTCTTTGTACAGAGGGAGTAAGCTTGGCTGTCTGGCTCGCGCTGCTAGTATTCAGTTGCCTTATTGGCATGGGCTTTCTTATGGGAGAAGGAGCCTTAAGAAAATGGACATGCACCTTATGAAATATTGAAAGCCCACGTGTACTTCCAGTTGGGTAGAAAGTTGGCGTTGGCAAGCGTAATCCCCTACCCCTGGTGCTGTGTTGCTGTTTGACGGAGGTGAGCCTCTTCCCCATAACTGAGTGGCCTGTTGAGCTAAGGAGAGTTAGGGAGGCCTTTGGAGCATACCTTGAGTCGGTGGTATTAGTCAGTGGTGGTGGCTCTGAGCGATGCCTACAGTTTCTTCGTTCCTTTGCCCAGGTTGTGTTGAAAACTCCCCGTTTGGCATTTTGCTCATTGAAGGAGTCTTTGGTGCAGGGGGTGCTCAGTCTATGACCCTGATGTCATGCGACTTGCACTACAGCGAGCGACTCATAGTAGCTGGTTCAAGGAAGACCGCTCAGGCTCTGTTTTTTGCTAGCCCCTGATGGCAGGAGATGAGTTTTCTTCCTGCAGGGCCCTGTTTCACAGCAGCGGTGTTTACATGTCAGCAAGGTTGCAATGGTGTAACTACTGTACTGACTCTATAGCTTCCCTCCTCTAGGCAAGGAGGAAGACATCCACGCAAGCACCTTCACTTCCCATCGACAGTAATGAGGGACTTGGCTGCATTAGGTTGTTGCAGGAGCTGCTTCATCCCTTGCAGAGTGGCACAAAAACAGCACCAACCGCAGGACACAGAGGTTGTTCTGCTGTTGATCACTTCATGGTGTGCATCTAGGATGCAGCAGCGCTGGGCAGAGAGTGCTAGGCATGAGGACAGGAGCCAGGTTCGTAGTGGTGAAGCAGTCATGGTAGAGGTGGCCATTGGGTATGAGAGAGGGAGCCAGAAGGAGGAGGAAAGCACACGTGGCTGGCTACAGAAGCCATTCCCCATTAGACTGTAAGGGCTTAAGTTGTGGCATCTGTGTGCGGGTGTCTGAGCAGTGTCTGGTTTAGGAAGGAGCCCTGATGCTCTTATCTCTATGTCTTCAGCTCAGAAAAGCATCCAAGCGCATGTGAAGCCTGTCTCTGTTCAGCGAGGCATTGCATCTCATGGAAGGCAACGGGGTTTAACCAGATGCTTAAAAGTTAAGCACATGCTTCAGTGCCTTGCTAAAGGTGGGTGGGGTAGGATGCTGTGCCAGAAGTAAAGGGACAAGGAGTCTGATGCGCAGGGGAGCCCCTTCCCTTTGCACTGAGGGGATTTAAATGGCTGATGACTTTGCTCCCACTTTATACACCAGGTTCTGGCTTCTTGTCCCTAAAGCGCCAGCTTGTCTTTGGGCTTATGCATCTTTCACCTCCCTCGCATCCACTGTAGCTTCTGTATTGAAGTCAGTCAACATGTTGCAGGGCCTGGCTTCATTCATGCCGTGGAGAGAGGAAGGCCACTGCAGAAATAGCTCTGTACCATCCTTCTGCAGTAGGTGCCACTGCCCTGCTTTCCCGCCCCCAGCCCAAATGCGCTGGGCTTTGTCAGGACCATCCCTCATCCCCTGCAAATCACTTGTCTGTAGAAGGCTTCATAGCTTGCGAGTCAGCTAGAAGGTCCTTAGGCACCCGGGTTATTGGTAAGAACCCAGTCCATGCTACCGTGGCAGATGTTACCATCAGAGGATGGCTGGATGGTGGTCTGTGCGGTAAATCGTCTCATTCAAACCCACCTTCACCCTTGTCCATCGTATCCAGTCCTCATAGGACCTCTAAGCAGAAGCCAGGGTATGAATGGGCACCTGTTTCCCTAGTGCTATCTAGGGTTGAGGCTGGTTGGCAGAGCATTGCGAGGGAAGGTAGCCTTTTTGTGCAGAGAGCTTCACTCCCCCCCGATTCATTCTGCTGGCTCCTTTTCCCAAGAGTAAGCCTACTCCTTCCCATTCACTCGAGCTAACAAAGAAAACGATCCTTTCCCTAAAACCAGTCTTCCTGCCTGCCCCTGCACTGAGTCGGGGCGTCCCTCTAAAGCCGGTGGAGTCATGCTGTTATCCAATGCATCACCAAAAGGCAGATCTCAGCTGCTTGGAGCTGCCCTGGCAGCAGCTGCCTGGCTGAGACGCAGGTGTAGGGATGAACCCCGCTCACAGCCATTAGTCGGGGCAGATTCACTGCAAGAGGCTGCCCAGAGAGCGGGTCCGGGATGGCAAAGCGTGGCATGCACACAGCACTTTGAGAACCTGATGGCACCCCCAGGCCAGGCCCAAGATGCGCTTCCAGGAACCCCCTGGTCTCCGACCCCTTTTGTCTACACCTTTATTAAGCCTAAATGTGTCCTAGGGATCCATCTGTTTTGTTACGTACTGAGAACTGAAGTGGAGCGGTTCCCCAAATGCATTGGCATCATCCCTAGTCGAACTCCCATCAAAACCTTTGGAGTTGGACTGGCGGGGAGGGGAATGGGCCCATTGCATTCAAGCGTTTTGTTGTTGTCGTTATTATTTTTTAACTCTTGCACCTTAACCCCCTTCACGTCCCTTCTTCAGCTGACCGAGAGTGCTGCGAGGGGCTTCATTTCCATTAGCCATTAACGCACATTCTGCAAATTACCTTTCCGCAAGCAACTCCACGCGCACGTGTCCCCGTGTGCGCCTACACGCCCCGTCTCTCCAACCTGCTTTTCTTTCATTGTGTTGGGAAAGGGTATTTTTTTTTTTTTTTTTTTTTTAATTCCCCAGGAGTCTGGTAGCACAGACCAGTTTGCCTCGTGGCCTTCACGAAGCAGGGCTGGCCCCCTTGGACGACAGCCATAACAGAAGTGCAGCAAGAAGACAGCGGATCGACGGGTTGAAAACGGCTGTGACAGTGCAATAGAGATTGGCCTCGGCTGCTAGCAGCTCCACTGATCATGCTCTTGGTCTGGGAGCCGAGCCGAGAGACGGACCCTTGGCTCGCGTGGACAGAAGCAGTGTTGCGGCATGGCCCTGCCTAGTGATACATCATTCACAGAGGGACGGAGCGATTAGGACTAAAACAAAACAAAAAAAAAACCCCACCGTGGTAGCATTGAACTTGAAGGAGACAAACAAAATCCAAGCACTCCACTTGCCTCAAAGTAGTTTCTAACGCCTGACGTTTGGCTGTGTATTATTTTATGGCATTCAGTATCTGTTGCCCAAACATGCCAAGTTTAAAAAAAAAAAAAAGAAAAAAACAAAAAAAAAAAGAGTGTATCGGTGGGTCTACTCGTGTGAACAAAATAAATGAAGCACTTTATTCTGTATAGTTATGGGGGAAGGGAGGGAGGGAAGCGGGATGAGTTCGGATGCTTTTCGGAAGCATCTTAAGTCATGTTCTAGGAAATGTATTATTACTTTTTTTTTTAAATGACCATGTGTAATCAATATATGTTTATCTCAAGTCCAATTACAGCAGTGCTCTGTTTGGCATGGTGCAATGTGTGGGAAGGGTGGTGGCTCTCTTACACTGGAGAAAGTCACGGTCTAATGTAGCAGCACCAAATCCTGCTCAGCTGCGGATGGTTGTTGGTCACAGCAAACGGCCTAAAACCAAACGGGTCCCAGATGTCTTTAACATGGAGGCGAGCCCTGGGGAGATAGCAGCCCCCAGCGCGCATCTCCATCCCGAGTGGTTTTACTGATGGCAGAGATGGGTTATTGCTGGTACCTGCTGTCTAGGCTGG